AGATGGTATTGCCGCGTACTAGGGGTCTGACTTCCGAGGCGCAGAATGGTGCATTTGTTCAAATTGAAAGACAAGAGCCATCTGTGGGACCACTCGTCCAACCGACAAAGATTTTCTTGGAAGTTGGTCTCATCGGCAGCATGCTGGATGACTTTCCAGATTTTTATGTCATCCGCAAACATGACACAATCACAGTCCAACCCATCTACGCAATCATTGATGAACAAGAGAAACAGAGTTGGTCCGAGCACCGAGCCTTGTGGGACCCCACTCTCTATGAATGTGCACCTTGATTGCTGTTGTTCTACGCAGACAATTTGGGAGCGGTCGACAAGGAAATTTTCGATCCATTTGAGAAATTTGCCACCGATGCCCATAATTCTCAACTTGTGTAGGAGACGTTGGTGCGGAACACTGTCAAACGCCTTCCGAAAATCAATATAGGCAACATGCACGGTGTGTTTTGCGTCCAGTGCTCGTGTCCAACTTTGCATTGTGTATAGCAAGTTCGTAACACACGATCTTCCCCTACGGAAACCATATTGTGTATTGGACAAGAGGTTGTGGGTTTCCAAGTAAGACATAAACTCCTTTTTGATGGTTTTCTTCATCACTTTGCAGCAGATTGATGTCAGACTGACGGGTCTGTAGTTTGTCGCCTGAGCACGACTACCGCTTTTGTAAAGGGGTGTACTGTGGGCCGTCTTCAGTCTGTGGGAAGAATTCCAGCATCAAACGATTTTTGGCACAGAAAGGATAGTGGCTTGGCCAGCTGTTGGGCAAGCTCAAAGAGCAGCTTTGCTGGAATCTCGTCCGGACCGGGAGATTTACATTCCTTCAAGCTTTTCAGTTCTTCCAAAATCGCTTCTTCTCGAAACACAATATTTTCGATAGTGGGATCTCTCATGTTCTCAGAATTATATGGGGTAAAGTCTGCTTCTCTTGTGAAAACGGATCGGAAAATTGAGAAAAGTGCTCAGCCTTATTTGTACTGTCCTATATCTCCAAGCCGTCATCACCCCTCATAACAGGAATGGGATTCCTGTTACGTGTGCTTTTCCGCAAATAGCTGTAGAGCAATTTCGAATTTTTAACGGCTTGGTGGAGCAAATTACTCTCAAAATCCCGTCGTCTCCTGAAAATCAGACTTTTCACCTTATTTCTTTGAATTTTGTATTCTGTAAACGCTGCATTATTGTTGTTCTCGCGAAATTTCTTCCATAACCTACCTTTCTTGTTGATCTCCCTTTTGAGTTCTCGTGTAAGCCACTGAGGGCGGTTGGATGTCCTAGGCTTTGATAAGGGACAGTGGTTCTTCATTAGGTGCCGTAAACGATCCTTGAATAAATTCCGGTCCTCGTTAACGTTTCCGGAGAAGAGAACATCCCAGTCTATTTGTGATGCCTCAGCTCTCATTTGGCGAAAGTCCCCTTTCCATATATTTGGCCTCGCATTGTCTTTTGCACACGGTTCAGAATACAGCAGGTACTCGCATAGAAGCACTGCATGATCACTTCGACCGAGCGGGTGAATCGTTCGGGACAGCCGAGGTACAGTTGAAGCAGACTGTCATGCTAAAATAATAAGACCATGAAATCTGCCTCGATGAGTCATTTTGACAACAAAAAGGAGCATAGGGAAGAAACATAGGCTGCGGAAAAAAGCGCTCTCACCTTCAAGATTCCATATCCTTTGCCAAACACAACGAATAGTCCTATGGATGTCGCTAGCGTATACTAATTGCTAGAAATTCCTCCGAGCTCCGACTGACAGTGGAAACCACTATATATCCCAGGACGTTTTATGAGTGCCTCTGAAGTAGGGGTAGGCGCACGGACGATAGAATCTTTTAAAGACTTCTCGGAGTTTTAGATGATCCAAGATACTATCATCGTAAGAACTTTTGCCTTTTCCACCGAAGAAGTAAGACGGGTCTTTAATCACATCAGGCCAGACTGGTTTCCTGGATCTAAAATGATTCCCGGTCCGATACCTGAGGGACTGCCTCTTTCATCTCTGTTCGAGCTGTCAGTGGGAACAGGGAGTTTTCATTCACAGTTGATGACAACCAGCACAGTCTCTTTGCATAAGGGAAGTAGCATAATGACAGCAAGCGGTTCTAGGTCTATAAGCTTGAATTGCCTCTCTTGCAAAACTGTGGAAGTTCTTAAAGGCGGCCGTATTAAAACTCTTGTTGAAAGTAGCTATTTACAGAACTTCCGATATGGTGTTCGACAAGGACATTCATACCCCCTTAAGCTCCTGACGTCGCTGGGGGCCTTGACCAGCGCTTCAAGAGAGGTCTTCGGAGTACATTTGCCGTACATCTGCGGATCTTGGTCACTTCAGCGGGAGTAGACCACTCGCAAACTTGCTTCGCCTTGTCACTATCGGTTTCTGTTCTAGTGTCAGAGGCAATATACCCTATAAACTTGACACGCGGCCCATTAAACACACACATTGCAGGCTTAGGAATCAGAACAGGATGCTTGAGATTTTTAAACACGGCTCGCATATTAGTAAGATGACTGCCAAAATCCTTGTAATCGAGATAAGCATGGGAGAGAGTCAAAAGTTACTAAATGTCATTTGTGTCAGAGGCCAACTTGTCCAAAACGGCATCCGACCATTGCAAAAGTTTCCTTACACTAAGAACCCATGTAAAATGCTTTTGGTGGAGATAATGTGGCGTAATCTCTGCGATTTTGAGGAGCTTCCCCGAAATAACGACCAAGATAAAAAAATAAAATAGGCGAAACATACCTGAGAAGAATAATTACAGATCTTTGTGATTATCGCCCTGGGTATGTCAACCTAGCAGCCAGGGCGTCGAAAGCACATTTCCTTAATGAATAAAACGGAGAAACCGTACCTTTCTGTCTTCGAATACTAACAGTTTATTAAACACCTGTCTGGTGATGCTTAAACCTGTCGTGCTCTACTTCCAATGCAAATAAAAATTATTTGCAAAAAATCTCAAAGTGAATGCAACTCGGCCGTCGGGTCCATCGGTGTCAGTAGAGCATTCTACAGCATGGTGAGAGCAGGACGGTGACTTGTGCGTAAATTAGGATTATAGTGACGGCGAACTTGAGCGACACATTCAACACTCCTTCCTCTCCCATCAGTGTCCGGTAACAAGAAATGGCCAGGACGACCTTATACAGGCTCGGACACAGTGTCTGGTAAAGTTAGAGAGCCTGTCCACGCACAATGGATCACATTTTCGCAGAAACAAGAAGTGGTCGTCTCGGGTCTTCTTTGAGTGGGAGCGCCATGGAGGTTACATTGGGACGGAGAGAGTGCAGCCCGACGCTTCATCCTGGGGCATCAGATATGTAGTGGTGAGAGATGCGCAGTCATGCTGTGGGGCTGGTGACCCCGTAATCGATCTCACTCCCACTTCCCTGTCGCACTCGTCAGTCCCCTCGCAGAGTCCATCAGGTATCCGGCATTTAGATTTGGCGCAGGGACAGATAAAGCTTCAGCATCCCGTTTACCTGCGTTAAAAGTGACCAGAACATGCATCAAGTTGCACCAAAGAGCATGGCTTAAACTAACGCAAGCGGAGCATGTTCCGCCTGTGTTTCGGATTTTATGAAGCGGGTTTGTGTGTGGTGCATGAGCTGGTGGGTCGAGGTGTGGAGATAGTATAAAGTCTGGAATGGTTTACCTCAGATATTCACAAAGACGCATAGGGCCGAATGGGCCCATGCGATGATAAGACGTCCCTAGGCAGTGTGGCAGATTGAGAGGGTGCGGTGGGTGTGTGTTGGCGCTCCTGGCCCGGGTTTGTCATCCTCAGTACGACGGGTTCGCAAGTGGCCGACCAGATCGATGCATGATATAAAGATTCCGTGGTGTTATGAGCACGATAATTTGAGATCAGCTGTGTCGGTGGTAACAACGCGGACAGTGGTATAGTTGACAGGGCTTTGGGTGTGACGCATAATAAGATTTGTCAAGTAAATAATGTGTGCTTATAGCAACAATAATATGCGTTTTACTGCTTAAGACACTGTAGGCGTCGTCAGTGCGGAGTAAATAATGATATAAAATACAAAGTCTACGCAGCAATGATTACCTCGGTCCCCCATAAGCAAACAGCTTTGCAATAGAAGTTTAAAAGGACTTATATTAGGCAGAAAGGAGTTGTGACGTCCGCTGGATAATTGATTTATTCCATACAATGCCTAGCATAATATATCTACGAGTTCGAATTGATAGTTTTTAGATGAATTGCGCGAATTATCGACACGGTCACGAATGAGAAAAACAGGCTCTTCTTTTTCCTCGACCACCTGGCGGCAGTATCTGCGGTCAATGTCTGACCAACAAATGCTCCTGGTCAACCAACAGATCTGTTTCCTGACCAAAGGTCCTCTTCATCTAGATGCCATATACCTCGACTCCTTTTCCCGTTGTATTTCTTTCCATATCCTTGTTAAAACCAGTTAACTTACGTATCCCAGTTCCTATTATTGACTGTTTACATGGATGCTGTGCAGACGCAAGGCAAACCAGCAAATGGTGAACAGGTTATAACTCCATATCGACAAGGTCTTTGTAATTCAGATTCCGAGAGCCATTCTTTCTTTTGGTTTACCTCGAAATAAACAACCCCACCTCCGGATATTATAATTATCAGAAAAAATGTACAGCAAGATAGACTGTAACCTGCTCTAGAGAGGGGAGGAAGGATATAAGTCGGTGTATTTCGAAGCTAATAGGCAACGGATAACAAAAATATCGGGTGTTTGGAGTAGACCATCTAATGGTATTTACGGAGCCAAAGTTAACGACATAAATGGCATAAGTCCCTCATTGGAGCTTGGATACTATATTTCGATGTCCTACCGTCATTATTTAAGTTACCTGGTCCTCCTCGCATTCTCTGGTGCCTTGGTTGTAGTATTTTACGTTAGTCTTTTTGGTGAGCTCCAATGAGATAGGTGGCCATTTCCTGCAACCGTCATGCGTTGAACCCTCTTTCTCTTGTAATGGATTTTATGGCATTTCGTGCGATCTTTAGCGAGAGACAGGTTCGTTTTTGCCTATATAAATTTCATTCCATGCATGTTTACTGATTTCGTGAGTTACTTGCCAGTGATTTTGTACTTGTTCATTAGGTTGTGCTAAGCGATCTTATAATTCCTTTCGCATTGCCGAATATACCACTAAAAAAACTTGTGGTCGTTTTTTTTCGTGCATGCTGGGCGGCCTTGTTCTGGACTGATTGCTCCGGTCGACCGGAGTGTAATATCCCTGAAATACGAGTTAATGCGACTCGATCTTTTCTAACCGGCATAACTTACACGTCTCTTAAGTGGCTCTGACAGTTTAGAAGACGCCCCTCTAACAGCACCACCCCTGTACACTGCTGGCACATGTTGTCTTTTAGTGCTACTTACACGCTACTTAAGTTGCCAGTTTGTTGGTGTGTGACTGCGCCACGCCGAAGAGCTCACGGTTGGAAGACCGTTTTCAGAAGCCCGGACTCTTGGTTACATTACCAGACATTGCACCAATGAGGTATCATGTAGAGTGTTCGCGTATCTGGGTCGAGTCTCATCGACGCCAGTGTCGATCGCTTTTTAAAAATGCACCTGCAGTTGGGTTGGGTGTCATGCCGCGTCCACTTTCCTACTAACGAGCTCGGACGTAAAAGGTGAAGTGGGACAAACTTGCGGGTTGGCTTACGTCTGATATGCGGTAAGCTGGAAACCATAGCACATTACCAAGGTCAAAGTAAGCCATTGTGCTCCAAATCTGAGCTCAGAACCGCGTAACCGTGCTTCTTCGCTCCATTCGGCAACTAAGCTCAGACGAGAGGTTTAGTGAGCTCTAACTACCCACTACAGCAGAGAGCACTATGCTTAACTTTTAGAGACAGTACAAAAAATAGACTAGTCGATGTAAGATATAAGTTACATTTCGAACGTAGCCATATGCACGAACTTGTAAGGGCACCACGACAGGCCGTTTAAGCCGTGAGTAAACAAGGCTACCGGATGAATTACTTTGTGTTTGGTCAGACTAATGGTGAGAAATCTAAGGAAGTGGTCTTTTTTACATGTGGTTTATTTACGAACCGTCTGAATCCTTAGTGTGAGACGATGCTGTCAACAATGGTATAAATTAGCAAAGTTAGGGAGCATTCAACCCATTAGTCTGCTGTCCAGGTTACTCGCATTCTGGAAAACTGCGCACATGAACTTAGTGCTTCGCACGCATCGTTTTTCTGCTATATTTTAACTATGCAAAGAGTACTCTGTATACTTTAATATTTTCACGCATGCTTCGCGTCTTCGTCACTTTTCCGAAGTTTATAAGTCGTCCCTTTTTTAACCCCTTTCGTTTTCCGTTCTCCATAAATCTGTATTCTGGTTTTCGGTTCTTAACCTTTCGTGTAGTGGAATTGATAAAGTACATGACGCACCGTTTTTTGCAGACGCCGGTTGCGCTCCATTTAGGTTCCCTGTCCCTACTCACCGCGCTCCAGATGTGTACTGGGCGTCTCATTCCTGCTGATTTTAGCGGTCAAACTACGAGATATTCGGAAGTTTAGTTTCTGGACAAATCCTTCGTCTTATGCTCTGACTGTTTGATGGGCCTAACTCCTCATGGGTCAGACATTGAAAAACCCTTTGGTTTTTACATGAACATTCTCCAAGGGTTATCTATTCACAGAGTCACTTCACTCCAATTTCCCGCCAGCGACTATATTTCTCCCCCATTTCTTAAGGGGTCCTTTCTGTTTATTTATTTTCTCATTCGCTACGTTATTTTCCACTGTAGCAGTAGATGGTATGACAAGTTAAACGCAAGGCGACGTCTTTGTGTACTCTTTTACTTCATCCCCATTGACACTGTTATAATTAGTAAATCTGGTGTTTCTACCTGGAGTGACAGTTTGACTGTCGTTTCCGACGATGGCCACCCTGTGCTCCACAACAGGGTGGGAGTAAAGACGGCGACTTACACGAAAATTTGTCTATAATGATAGTAGACATGCGCAGCATTTACTGCACTATCCCCTCCTCCCCAACCCAGACCCGGTATCATTACAACGTCAAGAAGATCGGATCTGGGAGGGGCGCAGGTGGTTGGCGCGGCGAAAACCTGTACTTTAGAGCAAGTCAGCACATCGAATCGAATCCCATGTGAGTAGTAGTGCCATACATACCACATTGAGGAGCCATTGCAGCCTAACCCTTAGTCCACCACTCGGCCACTCTTCGCACAAATACCGAGTTGACTTCGTGGTCTCAATTAAAGCGCTAGTTGACAGCCTTATAAGCCGTGGGGGTGACGGGGTCGTCGTCCTGGACGGCGTGGGGGTTGGTGCAAGGGTGACTATGGAGGCGGCTGTGGAGCCAGTAGTTGGGGTTGTTGGGTTCTTGTTGCACTAAACTCTGAGATGTCTGACGGGGCCATTCCGAGCGCACAAAGTTCGTTGGCAGCGTAGGCATGTTGGGAGATGTTTGACGTTGGCGTTGTAGATCGAGGGCGCTTAAGACCTGCGAGCCGCTCTGTAGGCTTTGCCAGCGGTGACCCAACTGGCTTCATAGGATGCTGCTCCAGTCTTCACTGTTCTTTTCAAGACCGATGAGTCCTTTGCGAGGCCTTCTTCTGTGTTCGGGTTGATTTGTAAACACTCCAAAGAGCTTTTTAGGGTGTCAATGTAGCGACGTGTTTTACTTCCTTGTCGGCGATTACCCGTAACGACATCCCCGTAGAAACATTGTTTGTGTAGTTTGTCACCGTTCATCACCACGAGTTGGACGCTCCATCGCAGTTGCAGTTATCTGTTCCAACAGTTTCGGGGGGAGGGGGTGCCAAGTGCTGCGACTAAAATAGCTACCGCTGTGAACCAGAGGGACAAAAACTTGCTTTGCAAGACGACCATGTTCGAATTGAGCTAAATATTTTTTTCAAAAAAGGGGATTTGTAAATTGTTTGAGATCTGTATAGGCGAAGACCTGGCCTCGCGTAAGACGAGAAATCGAAAAGAACCCAAATACCCAGTAGTTCTTACGCATGTTTGAGGGGGATCATAATTGCCCGGATGGCACTGATGACTAAGGAAGGAAGGAAGGAAGACTTAAGCGGCGTCGACTCATTTAGGTCCAACTCCCGGTTATGATCAGCATAGGTGAGGTTGCGAGGCAGACATTTTGTCGTTGTACGCGTGCCACACCTGTTTTGATTCCAGGCCCATCTGTCGCTTAATGGGTCTTACCTACCGATGTCACTCCTTTTGGGACGAAGATCGTTTGTAAAAGAGTGCATTAGAAGCAACCCACGGGAAATACACGTACGTTTTAGTGAGTTTCTATCAGGCCGATAAGACTGTATGAGTTTGCATGGTTTGCCACCTTATCTGATAAAGTGGTGTTAGGAGGTCGAGTTCAAGCGGACTAAATATCAGCGAGGGTGCAGTTACCAACTGAACGTGTAAATTGATAAAAATGTAATTGGCATCGCCGGGTGTGCTTTATTGGATAGAATGGTACCATAAGACTGAAATACTGGCAGGTACAGTTGATATACTATTTCATGAAATGTTGACTGACATTCTGGAATGTGTTTCCAACTCCAATATTACTAAAGTAAGGTTATAATATTGGCATGCCGCATAATGTTAAGATATTCCAGTCACTTCAAGATGCAGGCTATCGAATGAGCTTCTTACCGACCGCTTTAATAAAATATATTCCGTGCAAATGACTACTTAAGTAACAGGAGTTTACCCCAGTCATTTTGATACCCTTATAAAATTTATATATATTTCGCAGAAAACGTGCACAAAAATATCCTTTCTTTGACTCACTGGGTGGCAAATAACGTCTTCTTCGAGTTTTCCGCCCGAGGAGTAACCACCCTTCGGTTTTCGAAAACTACCTCAATGGTCGAATAATTGTGAACCCGACCTCTTATCGCACTTGCATCCAGGACTTCCAAACTACAAGCTGTATATCTTTCCTGTAAGGAAAATTATACATTATATGCTATTACGAAGAGGCACACGAAATTTTGTAGCGGGTGTGGACCACGTTGTCTGGTATATAAACTGCATTAGTTAATGTGCTCTTTCAGTGCTGTATAATTGGACATTTCACGGTCTCGAAAAATCTCATGATTGGAAGCTTTTTATGAACGGGAAGTTACTCTTTCTTTAAGTACAAAATTCGAAGACATTTTTTTCTACCAAAAGCTAAAAGAAAACATTTTTATGCGTGTTTTCTACGAAGTATATCCGATTTTATAGGAGCATCGTAAATCGATGGGAAAATTGTTATATCCCCGAGTAGTATGGCCCCAGTTCCGTGTGGAATAGAAGACAACTAGGAAAGCTTTACTGTGTCAGTCACCCTATGAACATAAACTCCAAATCCTTCTGTCCATGCCTTCGTATTTAAGGATTCGGCTTTTGTCTGGTTTGCGTGTTCCTACTGGTCCAGCCCTGAGCGCCCGCATGGTCAGATCTTCGCCTGAAAGTCGCGCGTCACTCTGCAGCGTGCTAATGTCTAACTCGCACACGGGCTTGCTAGGCGAGCCTGCCCCGCTTGTTTGCGGCTCTTTGTCAGGCATGACCTCCGGACGACAGGAACGATGCGTCATGTTCTGGGCCGTCCTAACAAAAGTTCATATTACTCAAGTAGTCGCTTTTTATAGGATTTAATTTACGCAGGTAGTCGGTAAGGAACTCATTCGAAAGCCGGCACCCTGCCGTGACTTGAATATCTTGGTGTTATGCGACACGCTAATTAATATTACAATCCTACTTAAGTAATCCCTTCGAATTGAAAACGTGTTTCAGAATTTCGGCTAATATTTCATGAAGCAGCGTATCAACTGTATAAAAAAGGCTCTCTCGTTTACTCACGTTTGTTTACAGATTGGCTGGATGTGGCATATTTACTCAAATTTTGATCACCACTTACTTGGTGTGTGGGTAACGATAGGTTGTAGGACCCCCAAGTAGAGGACAACTCCAAATATATACCCTAAAATTCAGTGTGACTGTAAACATCACTTATTATTCACTGTCCTGACTAAATGTAAACTTACCAGCGGCGCTTTATTCAGTGTCCGTTATTTTTCGCAGAGTGCTCTTCGTTATTTTCGAATTCTCGTGCTCACTTTCTTTGCCAAATGACAGCGTGCGATAAGACTTTTGACAGAAATTTATCTATTTTCTGTGTCGTCTTGCTTTCCGTTCTGCTTGTTGCCCCACCCGTAAAACCCATTCTACCACCATTCAACGTATGACACGATCCACAGGCCAAAATATCTATGAATTACGTGAGCCTAGTAGTCATCTGGTGGATTCTAGGTGATTTACTTGGGAAATCCTGCTTGGGCAGTCAACTTAATGTGTCAGATTTGGTGGATTCCAGACGTTGCAGTTGGTTGGGCGGGTAACTTGACCCAAATATGATTAAAATCGCGTCGTCCGGCGGGGCCTCGTAGTTCAAGTGGTTAGAGCGTTGGCTGTACTAAAGCCTTCCCCTTACTGCGTGGGTTCGAATCCCACCGAGGCGCCAAGTTTTTCACAGTTGGGTCAATATGAATTAGCTCAAGTTAGTTGGGGATCCTACATCCTATTCTTGCCGGTGTGTGTCAGACTGTATGAACTTTCCTGGAGGTTTCGTGTCCTTTAAAAGCTTTAAACGGTACTTACAGTAAGTTGGTAGTGGGTCTGTTGATGTTGCACACCAGACACACCAACACCTGTAAGTTCAGTATCCTGTTGTACGCCTGATGTCATCGAATCTTTTTATGCATTACAGTCATCTGCTCGCTTGCTGGATCTGATCCCACCACAAAAGGCCGCCGAGTTGTTGCCGATCCTAAAGGTCCACTTTCCAGAATTCCTCCAATTTGAAAGCCCAGAAAATCTCTTCCCCCTCGAAGTGGAGACGGACTCTGAGGTGACACCAAATTCCGGCCTTACCTTTCTAGCACCGACCCTACATCTCCTGTGCGTTCAATCGCTTCAATGGATCCTCCAGATCGCCCTGGTCGAACTTGTACTTCCCCTCCCTCGATGGCGAGGTCCCCTTACCCAGTGACAACTTGCGAAACCTAGAAGTTTTTGCCAATGCTGCTCTGGCGCACTACGTGAAATTGTGGGCACTTCAGTCCTTCCTGACTCACGTCTTTACAACTTTAGATACTACCCCTCTGCTTTGCTATCGGTCTACTGCCTGGCCAGGAAACATGGTTTCATGGCGTGCGTGCTCATCAAATCGCCGTCTGTGGAAATAGCCCATTGCATTTTTATTACAGTACGTAGTTTATTATTGTTTTACTCCTTCCAGATGCCTATCCCTTCTCGCAAACATTAGTGGAGATTATTAGGTCATCCTCTCCTCCGAGCATCAGGCTGAAATATCCCCCTTTTAATGTGTGATCTTCTGATAAATCACAACTTTGCGAGATCCCTTTTTATTACGTCTGGCATATACGGCTTAATGAGCCAGCTCACGGTTAGACGTGATTACTGCCTGATCAGTCAGTGTGTATATGCGCATCCCCAGTCGCCCTGCCTTTTTCTTAGCCACTTAAGTACGATGGCTGGGACACACACGCACGCGAGAGAGTCGGGCTGATGCCGCTCGAGTCGTCTGTAGGCAAAACATTCCGCATCATCGACTACTCATTTTCTCCGGGACATTCCTTCACCGTCCTGGCAACCGTATTTCATCCACACACACATGTTTCGTTTTGTCCGCTCTGAGAATTTACGTATACTTTTGTAACCTCTTAGTCCTGCTGACTTTGGTTTGTCCCAGCTTTAAACATGACCTGCGAAAGATGCTGGTGGTGGTAGTGGTCTAATATTTTGGAATTTTAACGTGTCATCATCAATCGGTTTTATTTTCTCCCCCCAATTACAGGAGAAACCTGTTCTACGTCAGGCGGACTACTTACAATCAGCGGCCTACCTCGTGCATTTTAACAAAGACGACTTCCCTCAGGGCAACGACAGTGAGCATTTATCCTTGGGTTTCTTCCATAAACAAGAACATCAGGAAGAAGCACAGCTGTCCTCCAACGTCACTGAATCGCACGTCGCAAACATCGGACGCATGATTGAGGTATTTCTTCGCTCCATGTAGTTTGAACTTGCCGTTATTATTTAACAACATTGTTCCTTCGCGGGTCAACCGGGTACTCCACAGGCCACAGTCTCTGCTTTCGTGTCTGTAGTTTTAAGACCACACAGTCTTTACATGTAGCACCGTTGTTTATCGCAGTTTACAAGTTCTTTTCAGACTACTTTGGTTTGATTTAAAGCAATTTTTTGGTGCCAACACCTAAACAGTCTTGGGAGCCGACTACCTCAACAAAACATCCCCTGCAATATGGTGGATGGCGCGGCCGAGCCCGCACCTTGGCGTTCCACTCCACCCCCTGGTCCACACAACAAATGTCCAGAATTTTAACCAACAACAACAACACCACAGCGGGTCAGAAGTAGGAGGATGACCGGGCAGCCATGCTCACAACCAGTATATCCAGTAGGAGCGCAAGCACATCTACCAGCAGGGAGCCAGATGTCAGAGAACTGCCAGTGCATACCAGGCTGCGAGGGCCATGACTTGCTGATCCTGGCATAGCGAGCGCTTACAGACCTTTATTATGTTAGGCCGAAAACACATTTTTAAATTTCAACTTGCATTTCTTGAAACTGCCACCTGGTGTTCGCCTGTGGGTCTAAGTGAATAACCTTTTGTTTACAGAAGGTTAATAACTACGACAGGCATTTAGCATAGTTCGTAATTTTGACAGTTAAGGCATTTCCAGTTTAGCACAACTGACTGCGACAGCCGAGGTAAAACATCCCGCGCGCATTCGTGGGTTGGCCGTTTGATCTCCCTCTCGCGGCAGACTTTTTTCTTAAGCTTTTATATTTCTAATTTCTCATGGTTCGCCATGGAATGTTCCAATTCTTAAATTTACCGGTTATATCAAGTGCCTATGATCACTGATTGGGCTACGAGACCTGTTCGTCTCGGCTTTTGGATGTACTCCTTTTTGGCCTCCTGCAGAAACCACATTTGGTAAAAAATGACTACTTAAGGAGCATGCGTTTTTCCTATTGATTTTCGATCGTCTTATAAATTCAAATATATTTTATAGAAAACATGCACAGAAATATGCATTCTTTTACTCCTTTAGTAGAAAATAACATTGTCTTCATATTATATATCAGAAGGAAGTGTATCTTTATGTTTTAAAAAGTTTTTAATTATGAGATTGTTAAGACCGTGCGATGTCCATTCATACAGGGCCGCACATGTTCGTTTACCAATGCTCCTCATGGAATGTACAACACAGTTCGGACCCATCGAAAAGTTTCATGAACTCCATGTGGTATCTTCTTAAAGGCATAGAGGAATTTATGATTTCCCTTACGCGGAAAGCATGCACCTTGTGGACTGAAATCGCCAAACGCTAATGCAATGGCAGATCAGGCTCACAGTTATTCGGGAATTGGAAAACTTTTTAAAAACCTAAATGTACACTTTCTTTGGGTATAAAATATAAAGACAGTGTGATTTTCTACTAAAGGAGTAAAAGAATGCATATTTATTGCATGTTTTCTGTAAAATATATTTGAATTCATAAGACCATCGAAAATCAATAGGAGAATGCCTGCTACTTAAATAATCACTTTTTACCAAGTGTGGTTTCTGCAGGAGGCCAAAGAGGAGTACATCCAAAAACCGACATCCTGGTGAGTCCGAAATACTATAGGATCATGCTGCACACGAATCAACAGTACAACCCCACCTACATAATCCTTCCTAATCGAAAACGCATTTCAGAATTTCGGCTAATATTTCATGAGATCGGTCACGCACTGTATGTCGGAAGGGCGTTCACCGATGGGGTTACGTGACATGCTCTTCTCGTTTTGCTTTGGGACTCGATCTAATGCCCCGCAGGCAGTCGCATAGCAGTGACGACTAATAAGGTAGAAGTAGTCATTCCAGTCTCCCTTGTCTTTTTCGACAATCTCGCCATCTCGAGTGCCCTCGATCAGTTTGGGAGAAAAAGAGGCTCTGCCGCATGCTCATTTTGCTTTTTTCTGTCCTAGCATTTGCGATCGCAGGATGAAATGCGTACGTTTCGTCTTGCCCTGAACGTGTGACGTATATCAGCAGGCAATCAACCATTGCGAAGCATTACAGACAAAGACTAGTGTGACCATATAATGGCCATTTTTTGCTTATTTGTCGTCACACTGGCTCTAGACTAGGGGGAGAGGCGCTGGGGTTTGCATTCGGATATCTTATTCAACTGAATCAGCCACTGCTCCCCATTAGTTGTGTTGTTTCCCTTCAGCTGATGGACGCGTCTGTCTTTGCAAAGATTCGAACCGTCTACCCAGCCCACATTCATCTCCTGATAGATGATCTGCGGCTTTCTCAGACGGCCGCGGAGATCAAGGACAATCGAGAGAACTCCTTTAGCCTCAATCTGGCTGAGGCTCTGGCAAATGCAACAATCAAAATCGACAGCTAGTCCTGTGTCGAAATATCCTTTTTCTTCCTTCGCCGCATGCGCATTTGCCTTTCTACTGTGCTTCCGTTTATTGTCCTCGTCGCTATCTTGATTTTCTGTTTTTGATCATCTTTTTTTTCGCTGGAAATTTGTCTTGTAATCTTTTGCTTTCCCTCCTTTGTCCGCTGCGTTTGGTCTTCAATTGCCTTAATCCTTGCTTAACTTCGCTGTACTACTTTCTTTTGCACAGTAAACTAGCTATTTCGAAGAGTTCACTTTTACCGCACTGACTGCATGCATGGCAGCGCCACTTTTCGTCGCGCACTTTTTTCGCACCCGAACATTGTGCACTGCGTTCTCTGTTGTCTCTGCTCAATCCCGTCACGGATATTAGGAGCACATTAACTGTCCCGGCACTGTGCACAGTCTGTCCTTCTGCTGAATCATCAAGTGGTCCTTCCATACGTACAGTAGATGTGCTAACTCATGAAATGTCAATCAAAATTTCGAAATGCGTTCTCGTTTCGAAAAGATAAATTAGGTAGAGTTGTAAATCTAATCATGATGCAGCATAAATCTATAATGATCCAGTTACCTCAGGGTGTCGCCTTTCGAAAGAACTTATTTTCGGCTGCATGCAAGATCCATACTCTGCAACAAATGACTACTTAAGTAGCATGCCATTTTCTCATTTATTTTCGATGCCTTTGAAAATCCAATTATATTTCATGGAAAAATGCATAAAAATATTCATTCTTTTACTTATTCGTTAGAAAATCACGCCTTCTTCCAATTTCATACTGAAAAGAAGAGTATAATTCGGTTTTAAAAAGTTCCTAATTGTGAGATTTTGTAATACCGTTAAATGGCCGTTCATGAAACGTCATGTATCTGCATTTACGAATGTGGCTTGTAAAGTTAACAATGTTGCTCAAATCCACTGCTTAATTTTGTTAACCTCATATGGTCTCCTCTTAACACCGTAGAGAAATGCATGGTTTTCCGTACACGGAAAATATACAGCCTGTAGTTTTGAAACCCTGAATGCAAGTGTAACAGCAGGTTGGGTTCAAAATTATTCAGGAATTAGAAAAGTTTTTTAAAACCGAATTATCCTCTTCTTTTGAGTATGAAATTGGAAGAAGACGTGATTTTCTAACGAATAAGTAAAATAATGAATATTTTTATGCATGTTTTCCATGAAATATAATTGAATTTTCAAAGGCATCGAAAATCAATGAGAAAATTGCATGCTACTTAAGTAGTCATTTGTTGCAGAGTATAGATCTTGCATGCAGCCGGCTACTTGCACAGTCTGTCCTTGTGCAGAATCATTAAATGGTCCTTCCATATGTATCTCCTATTCGAACTCCATGTTTGCTACTTTGTATATCTCACCGTGATCGCGCATACCTGCCCATGCGTTATTGCACTTTAGCAATTCATGGCACACTTTGTTGCAGTGAGAGGTCAAGTTCTCCAGGGTGAAGCGAACATACTCGGCGACGGGCTTATCACCTTCCATGGCAGAGAGAAGTTCACCGATCAGGTTACGAGACACGCTCGTCCCACCGTTGTGCCTGTGAGGGCTCAGAGTTTAGTCCCCGCAGGCAGTTGCACAGCGACTAGGAGTAGTAGCAAATGAGATGGTACCGACGAACACAAGGCAGACCGGGGTGATCACTTCTAGTTTATTAGCCGTCCCCAGCCAGCCTTGCCAGCGCGCTTACGTTCTTCGATCGTTAGTACTTATTAGCCTTGAACGTACTGACGCTCGATGACCTAAAAACGCCAGTTCGAACCCCAGGTCCCAAAAACTTGGGCTTGGATGAGGCTGGCTGGGGACGGCCAAAAATGGCCATCTCGGCTTCGCTTGACTCCGTCGATAACCCAGTATCTGGCCGTGTTCTCCTTGTGGAGATAGGGTTTTCTGGTTCGGTCCTCGGAACTAGCTACTTTACCTTCAGCAATGCTAGCTTCTGCAAAATTTCTCTGATAGTTGGTGTGCATAGGCGTGCTATCGAGCAGGCTTATGCACAGCCTAAACGTGTTGGAGTGCGCAGGAAAAGAAGAAGTTATGTCGGGGCGACCTGGGTTCTGCTGCGTTACTGAACACCGTCTATGCGAATATGGTCAAATAGGCCTACGCGGTGTCTGCATTTTCTGAGACAGTGTGGGCAGGCACGGTACTTTGTGATGGATGTTGGTTGATTTGCGCGTGAGCAACCAGGCGAACCCGTGACTGGAATGCGTGGTGCTCGGTTGTTGAAGGGCTGGGTTGATAGTCCTGGCATTGCGGTAAGCCCAAAGGTGTCCAAGGCGGCCGATTCGTGCCTTGAATGTGTATTAGCCGGGATTTTGCGTTGGTCCGCGACAATCCAGTCTTTCGTGCGTGTTATCTCTGTTTGCTGTCTCAGAAACTGGTTGCTCCAATTGTGTCTGGGGTTGGTCATCCCCTCCCTTAGGTTCTGGTGTGGACGTTTTCCAGGTGTCTGCTACTTTGGTGGCACTTAACGGAGGTCCCCAATGTTTCGCCGTAGCGTTTTTGCCCACCGTGTCTGCGAGTAGCCTTAACAACGTCTGCTTCGAAGAGTTTGGTTCCCTCACGATCTGGCCGCTCCATTATAGTTGGATCTGCGTCAGTATGTCAGTCGACCCCGGCACCTTGGTCCCCAGGGGTCCCCTCCTACCGCTTCTCCCTTGATCTCCTTCGAAAACAGTCTCTTTTATGGTGGCCGGGTTTCATCGATAGACTGTCCGGGACTGTGCGACGAAGAGTAGTGTTCTCAGGGTGTTAACACTGTGCATTCTACGCTTTGTGTTGTGGATGTTGTCAGGATAATTCAGCACTGAGTATTATCGCCTACCAGAGGTTTATCTGATGTGTGAGATCTTGGCTGCATCATCGTCTATGCTGATGCTTTGGGGGATGATGCTGGCCAATGGAGATAACTAATCTACCTGAAACAAATACCTTGGGCCTGCTGTGTTCAACAGTTGGCGTTGCACAGTAACCATTTTCTGTGTTGATGACTAGGCTGAAGTTGGTGCATTCAGAGGCGAATAGGTCCTGCCTTTACTGCATGTTCGCATTAGTTTGGTGCTCAGTGCACAATTGTCACCAAAACGGAAGTCACGTATCTTGGCCTTGGAGACCTTAATCGTGGCCCGCATTTAATAGATGTTAAATGGTTTTCCGTCGGTTCATCAGTTTATGCCGATACCTGGTCGATTCTCACGGTAGGCGTCCATCAGTATTGCGGAGGGCATAAGGCTCAAACGGGTTAGTTCGTGGACACAGCATTGCTTCACCCATCTTCTCACCTAGAAGGCACCCGGTATTGCCCTAGTGTCTGTTATGCCTTCCACCGTGCCATCACAAGGCTGTCTGACTAAATGAACTATCATAAGTATTGATCGATTGTGATTATGATGATGACGACGCCGATGGTAGTCGTGGTGGTGGTGGTCGTCGTCGTCGTGATGATGATGATGATGATGATGATGATGATGATGATGATGATGATGATGATGATGATGATGATGATGATGATGATGATGATGATGATGATGATGATGATGATGATGATGATGATGATGATGATGATGATGATGATGATGATGATGATGATGATGATGATGAGGATGAGGATGATGATGATGACGATGTCTCGAGCGTTGGCAGTCATTCCACGTTGCGTCTGATCTCTATATTTGTTTTCCATTGGATGGCAAGACGGTCTGGCATGAAATTAGAGACAAAAGCCGACCTAATGTCTTGTCCAATCTGCGAGTGTACTGAGGACACGCATTTTCCGTTAAGCCTGTCTTCGCACACGGATACCTTTCTTTCCATGAGAATGAGTCTTGAACATGGTTGCCACACGAGTCACCTTAAAACGTCCTAGTCTGCAGCCAGAGCGACTTTTCAGCACATGGTGTAAGTTTCTGGAGATGATTGAGGTCAGTGAGAGACACTGAAAAGCATGCTAATAGGCTCTTGCCGCTCTAGTCGGGAAACCCTTAT